CATCCAATCACCTTCGACGGGGAGGGGGCATCGGTGCGCAGCTTCCCAGCGTTTTGGCGTTCGTGGGCGAAAACAGTAGTTGGAGAGCAACGGTGCGGGTTATTAGCGTACTTTGGAGACCGCTGCATATATTCCGCGCGACCAGTTTTTTGGGTTTATGGTCTAGATTTAGTATTTGTGCGCGTTATTTCCCTACTGAATTGTGATTTCGTGAAGACCGCCTCGGTTTTAGTTTGTCTAAGTTGTACGGTCGTGACAAGAGGCTTGAATGGAATTTAACTGATTAAAGTAATTTCGTTTGAAACTAATTGCGCCAATTATATAGTGATTGCGTGTTGAAGTGCATTTTGCAATATTTAACTTGCTTGTGTGACGAGGAATATTGCGCGCGCGCCGAGTACCGGTTGATTGTTTTTGGGAAGTCATTGTTTAATTGTACCGTCGCGTTAAGAGCCTTTTGTGTGTTGACACTGTAGTTCGTTTGCGTGTACACCCAAACATAGTCTATTTTAACCGACTCCCAAAAAGGAGTAGTTATGAATTATGTAGGTATGTACACTGATTTCTAAGACAATTCTAGATCAATTCGTATATACATGCTGAAATTTTAGTTTTTTTTCCCGCAGCTAAATTATACTGTCTCGATTGTAGAGTCAATTTATTAAAATATGACAATTAAAAAAGGACAGATTTACAATAGTAATACCTCACGAGCTACTCGGGCCTCCAGACTCCAGACTAGTTTATGTCGTATCACTACACTTGAGAGTTCCTGCTCTGAACATTTATTAATGGCCCTTCACTGTGTAGGCAGCGCGGTAGCGCGTGCGATAGACGTAACACTGCGTTACGTTCTTTTAGACTTTGTTATAGTAATACGGCATAAGCTAGCCTGCACGCCTGACCTACTTGCGAGATATTGCTATTGGCTTGAGATCGCATTCGAGTTTTGTTTTTCTCGATTGTAAATCTGCCATTTTTCATCCTAATAATTTTATTTTAATAAATCTATTGTACTACCAAGACAAACTCATTCGACCTCTGGAAAACAACCATTAAAATTTCAGGGTGTGTATTGGATCAATCTCTGTGTATATCCTTTCAAATAAAAAATCTAAATCAGTTCAGAAATTATAGAATTTTAAGGTAAAAAAATAAAAATATACACCTAATTGAGAACCTTCTCCTCTTTTGAAGTCGTTTAAAATTAAACATTACACGATGTACTTATTGTATTCGCGCAAATTAACTGTGTTTAATAATATTCTTAAAATTTATGACGTATTAGATTTTATATTCCATACTATGATTCTTATATAATATGTCTTCGTACGTACGTAATCTTTATTATATCTATTTAAAGTTATCAATAAAATAATGATTTGCACAATTTGATTGCAAACGTTAGAAACTGGTATCACTGAATGGCGTGTATGTGTTCGTGTGACGAGCGTAGGCACATTCAACTCGCGCCCACTAACATAATGACCTTGCGTCACTTTAACGCTCGTTTTTTGTACTAGACTGCGTTTCTATACGTAATAATTCTATGCCTATATCATTATTTATATATTTTAACTTAAATATAAAATTTGGACACTCTTTTGAAAAATAACCCTCTATAGATAGATGTATAGATATATCGGCCAACAGACTAATACTGTGTATTAGATACCGATGTAGATCAGCGTCACTTTATATAACATCTAACATCGAACGCGAAGAAGTGATAATATAGTAAAATATATATGATTCAGTGATTCCAAATTCGAACGAATCATGAGCCCACGAAAGAATACGAGTATGTTTGTGAATAACAGATACCTACTCCATTTCTTCGATGTAAGATATACTGGTTTTAGAGTATCATAGATATTAGCTATTAAGTATTAATAAATTACAAAATATCTTTATATCTAAGCAAACCAAATCCATCAAAAATCTTGTGTCACCTTGTAGTACTTAACTTCCTTATATAGAATCACGTAGTTTCAATCGGTACATAGATATTGAAACATATAAGTAGATTCAATATCAGATAGAAGATATGTTATAGGGTAAGAATGGTACTACCCATATCTACCTAAGGCATTTCATGTTCATTCAGGAGGATATAACTAGATACTTATGGGCCGTAAGAACTAATCACCATAAGGAGAGCTGTGTGCTCGTTTGATGCCATCACTTGTATAAAACAATTTACTGGTTTTTGAAGAAGTTCTAGGGCTGCAAGATTTCTCTAAATATTTTTTAGTTTCTCGTCACGATGTTAATACCTTAACTGTAAAACGGCATGAAGACAGTAGCTAAAATTGAAATTAACAATTTTAGGGTCCAACACTAGTAGATCGATGGTGGAATGGATAAGTCGACGTCGATCAATAATTTCTACAAAACCGATCGGTCGACGTCGATCGAGCTGCTTGATTATTCGAGAACCCGCCCCGCTCCACCGATCGCATTAACTGTCGATCGACGTTGTTCGACGATTGAACAACGTTTTATCGACCAGTATTCGTCATTCAGCTAAAGCTACCACACTAATCGATCGTCATCAATCGACGTCTACCAATGACATCGATTGACAATCGATCAAACCCTTATTGCTAGGAGCGCGGATCGAATCTGGTTGTTTGCGTAGCAAGAAAACAAAAGCGAGTGCATAGCCCCTGAGCTACCAGGGCTCTTTATTAAATTATCATTATATTTATCATTTCAGCTTATTATAAGTATACTGCTTATTATGAGTCTGCTCGCAGGCAAGGGATAATGAACCTACCCCTAGCGATATGCGTGTTTATATACTCTGTAATTATAAATATATATAGATAAAATAAATACCGATTGTTCTACATACAGGGCTAAACATCTCGGCACGCCGGGATCACTCCCCGAAGTTGCATGCAACATCAAGGGCCTGTTGAGCTTCTTCGGAGAGATCTCATGGCTCGAATAATCACATTATTCCTGCCCACACGCAAAATACGCGCATAGACGTGGAGTTGCGGAAAACAGCCCGTCGTAAACTAAACTAACTAAACTAAAATACCGATTGTTATTATTTTCATTGTGATATATAATTGTAATAGTTCATAGTTAATCTATATAATATTCGTAAAAACTTTAATTTATATTAGAGAATTTAATTAACATGCTAACGTTCTATGTATCTGTCTAGGAAACGGAATCTTTTAATGTTTTAATTTTTCTTATAATCTTTTTATTTTCATCAACTTGTAGACGGCCGATTGATTCGAAAATTTGTACAATCGTATCAAAGATCTTAGGACCATGTGATTTCTATTCAGTCCGTGCAGTGGCAAAATAATCCACTACAACATGTCATACCATGCGTGTTGTAAGAGGTAACAGAGGAAATGAAACAAATGTTTAGCAGCAGCTTTATATCAAAATAAAAAAAAAACTGCGTTTGCAAACCTTCCTGTTAAGCGTGGCTATTGTAGCAAATATCCCCTCTATTAGGTAGCGTATCGTGAAGTCCTATGTTCAGCAATACTTTTACAGTACAGTACAGTTTTACGTGGTAGAGCCATGCTGCAGCTATATTAGTAGTACAGTTGTAGCACAAATGGGTCGGCTCGACCGGGAAAGCACCACGCTCTCACAGAAAACCAGCGTAAAATAGCAGCTTAACGCTGCTGTGTTTCGTATGATGAGTGTAGAGAACTGGAGACACTCTTTACTGGAAAAGAGGCATTCCATCTTAGTCCTCACGGATGACAACGCATCTGCATCTTGAGTCTTTATTGAGGATAGATGTAGATGTAGTTACTGTAACCACTTACCACCAGGTGGAATGTGTGCTCGTTTGTCACCCTACCAATAAAAAAAAAGTATACTTTTGATAGTCTGTAATGAACGAATGATTTTTTAAGTCACGGCAAACTCGTATTTTGTTCACATTGTGTAACTGATTTATCGCGGTAATCGCCGAAATTATCTATAAACGATAATTAAGTCCTCATTTACACCAAAGTGTATAAACAATTACGGAATATTAACAAAGATTAATAAATCTATTGGATGATATTTATTAGACAGGGCAGAGTTCTCCTGGGGAGTATTTTTAAGTTATTTGAATTTAACTTAATTGTGAATAAGATATGGATAAAGTGAAAAAGCAATGGACCGACCATATAGCTCGAAAAAACGACAATCGATGGGAAAGAAAGATTTTAGAGTGGCAGCTTCATACCGGCGAGCGGACTCTAGGGTGACCCTCCACTAGATGGAGGGACGACTTGGTAAGGTATGCAGGAAGTTTGTGGATGCAGGTGGCTTAAGACCGTATTTCCTGATATTACTTGAGGGAGGCCTACGTTCAGAGCAATGATAATAATGTTGAAGATACCGATAACAGATGTTAATTGAGTTAACGGATAAAACATTTGACAGTTTAATTTGATTTCAATGACCTTTTACATTATTTGTTCATTCCGTGTATTTTAAAATAAATTAATGTTCTTATCATGAACTCGTAATGATATTCTGATATATATGGACCTCTTTTACTGTAGTGGGGATCACAAAACGTGCATCAAAACGTCTCGCACCTATGACGCTGATCACAGTTGGCTGCTTATGAGTTTTTGGATACAATATAATATTTCCTTATGTGCTAGGTGACACTAAAGTAAACAATAAAGTGAAGCTACTGCCTATATATTACGTTCCACTACTGGAAATAGGACCATTCCAATTTCTGAGTGGTCTATCATTATTCTTTTCGTAACGTTCGGGGCTCTATTGATCAGTTCTATGTGAAAGGCGACCGACATATTGTATTCACGGTCATTAGTGTGCTGCAGAACACATTAAAGTCCGTAGTTTAGTGTGAAACATATTATTCTGTGTTTTTTATTGTTATTGTAAACATCTTTATCGGGTTCGGCTGTGAAAGTTTTTGTCCCGGTCATTATTTTACTATCTATCAGTTGTGTTAATTTTAAAAATTACAATAATAATATTTATAGGAGAATATGCTTAAAATAACGAATTTTACGAATAAAACATTAAAACATGCTACTAAAGGTGTTTTATGTGTATCATTAAAGAAGAAACATGTGTGGACAAGTGACAACATTGTGAAGTCTCCGTTCCAAGACGTCGTAATTCCAAACGTAACAGTTGCGGAATACGTGTGGAGAAATTTAGATAAGTGGCCAACCAAAACTGCCATGGTAATATCATAATGGAACATTATTGTGTAATATTATACTTTTTAATGAGGCTTTCATCATCATCATGCTTACTGTCTATGAAAAGTCCAGTGCTTATCATAGGCCTCCCAATGGAGTGTCATAGACCTCCTGAGGCAATGAGGCACATATATATTTTTTATTATTTTTAGTTGTTATCAGGAAGATGTTGCCGGTTATCTCCTGTTTTATTACTTTCTGTTGTCTATTACGACACCCACGGGACGTTAAGGGGTAGTGGAAATTCTTACGCCGCCACTACAAGGGAGTGACCTTTTAAGAAACAAACTATATTGGTAAATAACTTTATAGAGACAACCGGTAAGAAAATAGGAATATTTTATTTGGAGAATAAGAGCTAAATTTTATTGTGCACGTGCGTGTGTGTCTGCATGCGCGTACGCGTGCGCGTGCGCATGTGTGCGCGCGCGCGCGCGTGTGTGTGTGTGTTCATGCATGCGTGCGTGCGTGCGTGCGTGCGGACGTGCGTGCGTGCATGCGTGCGTGCGTGCGTGCGTGCGTGCGAACGTGAGTGCGCGCGTGCGCGTGTGCGTGTGCGTTTGCGTGCGTATGTGCGTGTTAGTGTGCGTGCGTGCTTGTGTGTGTGTGTGCGTGCGTGTGCCTGTGCGTGTGCGCGTGTGTGTGTGTGCGTGTGCGTGTGTGCGTGGGTGCGCGCGCGCGTGTGTGTGTGCGCGCGCGCGTGTGTGTGTGTGCTTCTATCAGTTTAAAGACTTATAGTAAGTATAGTAAAGCACACATACAGCGTAAGTATGTTCCTCTCATTTCTGAGATGGTTTAGTTCAAGGAAAGGTTCGCCGCCCTGCCTCAATGCGTATTGTCAGACGTCTCGTATATTCTATATGCTTAAAGACTTACCTTTGTATAATTGTGATGGCATAATGTATTCTGAAAGTTTCTTAATTATCTCGGTTGACCTTTACGTCAATTGCATTGATGAAACAGGTTATATACTCGTATATTACAATTAACTAAAAAGGAAACGAAGTCGTGTACTTGTTTTGCTATAGATACAAATATATTAAGAAAACTCATACTAATATTATGTGAAATAACAACAGATTAATATATTTTAAAGATATGCAGTGTAACGAATAGGCAGTACACCTATGAAGAAATATATAAACAATCTCAAGTTCTTGGAGCAAACCTGAGGAAGAAATTTAAAATCGATAATGGAGACGCTGTGGCAATTATGTTACCCAATTTGCCTGAATATCTAACAGCTGTTATTGGAATACTTAACGCTGGAGGTTTAGTTACAACTCTGAATCCGAATTATAGTGCTCGTAAGTTTCACAAATTCTTAATTACCTACATTTAAGTACAATAAATGATCTAGATTTATTTAGCGCTTGATTTATTGATTGCAGTCTGTGAAAAGTAAAAATCTATTTCTCGCTGAGTTTTCATTGGGCTACAGTGCCCAAAAATAATTAAAACCCAGTTGAGTTAAAAGACCTTAGACGCTTAGTGTTTTACCATTACTTGCGAAACTGCTGGATAAAGATGTTTGAAAACAGTTGACTTTTGTTAAGGCGACTAACATCTCGCCTCCTTTACAATACGGGTTTCGCAAAAGACGCGGCACTGCGACGGCTTTGCTCGATGCCATAGACAATTACGAATTACCTGAGCAAGATTTCGTTTATAGTACGCTTGTAGCGCTATTGGAATTTTACAGCACTTCCGAATGTTTAAATGATATTTACTTTACTTACTGGTACCAGTCTGTAAAATTAGTAAAAGTGATGGAACTACAGTATGTTCTCACATTACGCTCACTGCGGTGCTCTATCTTTAAGCTGGCACTCATTTCTTAAGCCACAACACACATGTAGTTTTAGATCTCATTATTATGTAACCCTTACGTAAAAGTAATAAATACCTAGTTTAGTCACTGAATGTACGTGTGTGATTAGAGAAAGTAAATGCTTTATATTTCTATCTACGAGTAATTGAATTGTTCTGACTCGTTGGTTTTTTAATTTTAGATGAAGTTCAAAGACAAGTTTCAATGTCGGACACTAAGTTAATTTTTGTCACACCTGAGGTGGTATCGACAGTTAAAAAAGCACTCGTTTTATGTAAAAGAGATATTCCGATTGTAGAAGTAAATTTTAATGGTGATCTACAAGAAGGAACAATATCTTTTAAGGAACTAGTAGAAGATAAATATGTTGACCTCAACATTCTAAAGGAAGTTAAAAGAAGTGCTGAAGATGTTGCATTTTTACCTTACTCCAGCGGTACTACCGGATTACCTAAGGGCGTAGAACTGACTAACAGAAATATTATTGCCAACGCGGAGCAGCAGAACAAGGACTTTAGATTTTATGCATACACTACAGGTATATATCTTAATATGTGTTTTTTTTTAAATACATTTTTATCTATTATATTTTTAAGTTTTAAGTTTTAAATTTGGACTTGGATATTTATTTTCATTTCACGTATATAGACAAATAATAAAGGATTTACACAGAAAGATTGGCGGAAATTACGGATTTACTGAAACTGAAACATTTTATAATTATTTACGGTTCAAATAAAAAGACATATAGTTATATGTTTAAGATATCAATAATTGTTGTTTTTTAAAAGTCCACAATATACCACTGCTGGAAATGGATCTCTCCTAAAGGAAGGAGGTTTAACTAGGTGGTAGGAAATACTTTTTACCTAGGAGTCTCTTTGAGTAGGTACCAACCTCATAAGTATTTAATTGCTAGTATAATTATATGCATTTTTAATATACTAAAAATGCCTACATAGGAAGGTGATATTCCTCAGATATTCAGATATCTGAGGAACATCACCTCTGGTATTCCTCTGAGAAGAATATGTTAATCTTCTCTAAAGAATAAGATACTCCACCTTATTACTGAGAGGTGACGTATCTGTAGCCTTCTTGTTTGTAGTTGGCTGCAGGCATTGAGTTATATGTACTACGTACTAGAGAAGCCATTCCGAACATTGACTATGTTCAACTGAACTGTAGTGCAATTCATACAAACTAAATTTTGCGTAAATTGAAGATTTGTGAATTCCATAAAATAATTATTATAAAATTTTATTTAGAAATATGTTTGTTTAGATTAAATTAAGATATTTTATATTAAATCCTTATATTTATATTATATTAATATCTTATTTTATATCAAATTAAAGTCTTCGCGCATGCGCGACTACTACTCCCGCGCATGCGCGATTACATAGAGTAGGACACAATTTTTGTTTGGAATGGCTTCTCTAGTACGTAGTACATATAACTCATTGGCTGCAGGTATCTATAACCTTATCCAAAACTATTCCGATGATATACTGGACGTCAGTATAAGCGAGATTAAAATGGCTCTCCAGCATCTTAAAAACGGCAAAGCCCCAGGCGAGGATGGAATTAAAGCGGAACTTCTGAAAGCGGGTAGAAAACCGATACTTGAAATGCTTCAGAAGCTCTTTAATTCCGTCGTCCACGGTGGGACTACTCCGGAGGCGTGAAACAGAAGTGCGGTCTTGTTCTTCAAGAAAGGTGACAATGCTCTCTTGAAGAACTACGAAGCGATTTCCCTTCTGAGCCGCGTCTACGTGCTGTTTTCGAGAGTCATTACCAGTCGTATTGCATGCAGACACGACAAATTAAAGCCTCCTGAACAAGCCGGTTTCTGAAAAAGTTTTAGTACAACAGACCATATACATACCCTTCATCAAATTGTACAGAAGACCGAAGAGTACAGGCTGCCACTATGTCATGCAATAAAAGGCATTCCCGTAGTCCATATAGGACTACGAGAATGCCTTTTATTCCGTCAAAATTTGTCAGCGGTGTTAAGTTAAATGTCGGTATATCGAAGTGCTGAAGTGTTTGTACAGAAGGGCTACGATGACTAGCCGAGTACAGAATCAGAGCACGAAACTCATCCAATTGTAGATAGGTGTAAAACAGGGTGAAGTTATATTACCGATACTCTTCACTGCTGCATTGGAAAACCTTCGCAAGCTACTGGACTAGAAAGGATACGGTATTAACATCAACGGCGAGACATCACTCACCTTCGATTTGCCGACGATATTGTCCATATAGGAAAATTTCTGGAAAACCTAAGCAACCTAAGCTAATTTAAGCTCATTGACCTCAATAGTGCCTCCCAACATACAGGTCTTAAGATGAACTTGGACAAAACAAAGATCATGTGCAACGTTCATGTCACATCTATGCCATTTGTTGACGAGTATGTTTACCTGTGACAAATAGTCCGAATAGGTAAGTCCAACTACGACTGAGAGGTCAATCGACAGATGCAACTTGGCAACTTATACGAAACATATATTATATACCGTCAGGTTATCGCATTTTACCATGAATTTTCTCTGGATTTTCCCATAGTCATCCCTTACGACGGTTAATGGATGAAATAGAACGATGGAATAAGCAGTCACCTGAGCGCTATTATAATTTGATAAACATCATGTGTTTCGACCACTAGCTTCATTTAGGTTCGAATCAATATTGTTTTAAATACAATTAAGTCCATTTCAGTCCTTAAATTTATTTAAGTCCATTTTTGTAACTCAACGAAGTATATTTAATTTAACTCTGATAAATACCTTAACTTCGATAAGGGAAATATAAATGCTTTGTTTATTATCTATTAACCCTCAGATTCGCATCAAGATAACTTATTGGTTTGCTTGCCAATGTTCCATTCATATGGCTTGTCTATTCTGGCGGTGCATAAATTCTCCGTTGGTTTAAAATTGGTAACACTACCAAAGTTCCACCCAGAAACGTTCGTACGCGCGCTGTCCAAGTATAATTTTAATTTACTTTACTTGGCACCACCAATAGGTAAGTAATTTTATATATACGAAATATGGAATATGCATGTTTAACGCTAGTTATACATCCATTCATGCATGCACAGATGTAAAACACACACAAACACACACGCACACACACACACACACACACACACACACACACACACACACACACACACACACACAGCGTGTGAACATATAAGTATGCAACGCCTGTGAGATTAGAATAGCAAACATAAAAGAACTACAAATGTGAGGAAAAGTATCCGGTCTGATTGGACAAGAGTTCAGAAATGAATTCTGTAGAAAGAAAAGCTTATCAGCAAGTTCAGTAATTACGCAATTTGTGACTTGTGACAAGGGTTACCAGATACAAAAATAAGTTTTCCTGGCAAAATCCCCAGGCAATAAATTTCCTGACATTTCGGCAAAAGTATAGTAGTTTTTTTTTAAAACTTGCCTGCCTGATTAATAGTGCTAACCGTGCTGATATGTCACTGAAAGCTTAAAATGAATTTGTGAATACATTGATATCAACTGCCAATTTGCTTTATCACAGTAAAACTAGCTGGCTGAGTTTTTTTCCAGAATAATTTTTTAAAATGTATCTGCCTCTAAAATAATACTTTTCAACCACTCCGCAAGTGCCGTTAACACTTAAAGCTTTTTTCGAAAATGAACTCGCAGGAAGTTATTTATTTTTTGTGCATTCTCTTACGTGGGCCTTTCAGTCACAAATAGCAGAAATAGAACGGGAAAATAACTCCGTTATGGATATTCTAGGAATATTAAAAGAAGAAAACAAATACACTGTAAGGAAAATTCCTGTCATCTGGTAAGCTTACTTGTGACCCCTTATTAAAACACCATGGTGTTGTTAATTTTCATAAATTATCTTTCACGTAGTAATTATTCTTAATTCCTTTATTTAGAATTCTATTTGATAATCTATATATATATATATATATATATATATATATATATATATATATATATATATATATATATATATATATATATATATATTTATAAAACCGCACATAATTATTTTTAATATAAAGAAATATGACTATAAGGTATGGGTATATTGTGCGTGCGCTTTTGTGCAGTAAAGAATGATACCAAATTTTAAAAAGAAGAATCTTATATATAAATTATTAAGAATAACTCCAAAATTATTGGTCACACCTTGATAAAATTTACATGGGACTACTTGTGAAGCATAAGCATTCAAATAAAAAAAGAATCATCGATATCGTTTTACCCAGTAAAAAGTTATGAGGTAACACACATAAAAAAAAACATACAGTCGAATTGAGTACCGGCTCCTTTTTGAAGTCCTTAGAAAAATAATAATTGACATAAATACATTGGTATATTATCTAGTTTTTGTTTTGTTATTACTCCTGTATCATTTATTACAATTTAGAAATATCGCCGTGTACTAGCGGCATTTGAGCATTCACTACTCCATTATCATCCCGTAGGTATCGTAAGACGCGACAGAGGAAACCGAAACGGGAGGTGAGCTGCAGCATCTTTGATAACTTTTGATAACACCTCAAATAATAAAATACTGTGTTTTTTTATAGGATAGAGTGTCAAACGAGCACACAGTCCACCTGATGGTAAGTGGTTACTGTGACCCATAGACATCTACATATATCCTCAATAAAGAATCAAAATGCAGATGCGTTGTCGCCCGCGAGGACTAAGATGGAATGCCTCTTTTCCAGTAAAATGGGTATCCGGTTCTCTAAACTCACCAAACGAAACACAGCAGTGTTATGCTGCTATTTTACGCTGGTATTCTGTGAGAGCGTGGTTCTTCTCCGGTTGAGCCGACCCATTCGTGCTACAGCTATAATAGTAATATGGCTGCAGCATGGCTCTACCACGTTGAGGGGCTATTCGCCATAGGTGCAACTAAGGCAGATAGCCCCTCTTCTATGTTCATTAGTGCATTTTGTTAGGCTATAATAATTATGATGATGACTATTTAGAAAGGATGATTGAGAAAAAAATACATTCACTATTGTTATTTCTATTAATACAACGATCAAACTACAGACAAGTATTACCACCGTCATCATTGTCTCGTAAAACTTAATTACCTTAATATTACTCATATGGCAAGCAGTGAAGTATCACGTAACATTTTTGCATAATATTTAATTGTAATTGACACTCAAAATTGATTGTAAAGACTCCTTTAATAAAAGAGTTCGTGACATTGTTTCTAGAACGGAACATCACAAAGACTTTTTTTAATTAGAAAATGTATATATCATGTCTCAATAAACAAACAAAGGCAAGGAAAGCAAATACCCTTAACTTAGAATCATTGCTAGTGTATAAAATTAATACACACAAACACATAAAATTGTACGCAATTTTTATTTTGAGACAACCAGCAAAAATGAATGATTTTTTAGTCACCGATATCTAAAAATTGCCTTTTAATTTAAGCATTACAATAGCTGAAATAAAAACCAAAATTGAAAAAAAAAACAATAATTTTTCAGTTATATTCCTCGGAACACATCCTCAAGTGGTTTCCAAGTACTTCGAACATTTAAGATGTGTTGCCTGTGGAGCTGCTCCGTTACCTATGGCTGATATTGAAAGATTCTTGAGTAAAGTGCCTGTAAGATATTATATTTTGTATTATTATTACTTTTAAGGTCAGCTGTGATGGCTTAGTTGTACATGTGAGGTTTTAGTAGTTAAAACTTCAAGGTTTACTATTACTAATTGATTACTAAGAAATAAATATCTTAAAGTCTGTATGAATTTGCATGTTCGTAAGTACTAATGTTATTAACATTTTATCCCACATATTTCCGGACCAAATTATCAACTCGATACAATCGATTTCGTTCTACGCGTGCACAGTTAAATAACTTTTTAATTTATTTGAATGTACAACAGATTTTAAAATGCCTCAGTCCTAAGTATTTCAGAGAGGTAACGCAGCCACTGATCTTGACAATATAATACGTGGAGTGTGTGATAATTTTAGTTATTAATTTTATTATTGTAATTAATTATATAAAAATCAAATAATTAAAAAAATATGTGACATAATCGAATTATAATTTTAGGACAACGTTCACTTCAGCCAAGCATATGGTTTAACAGAAACTGGTCCGCTTGCAACTGCCTATCCTATTGGTCACAAAAATTACAAAAAAGTTGGTTTTGCATTGCCAAATATTGAACTAAGGGTTATTGACGGAAATTTTAATAATGTTGGTCCTAATAAGGTAAATATTTAAAACCATTTTGATGATTTAATTTAAATAGCTAATAAAGGAGAGGACGTGAAAACACAGGGGCTATGAGTACGCACTAAGTCGAGTTTGACCTCTGCAAGGAGGAGCCCTTCACAAGTCCACTGCTGAACATAGGCCTCCCCCAAGGAATACCACAAAGCACGGTCCTGAGCCACCTGCATCCATCGACTTCCTGCATGTCTTACCAGGTCGTCACTCTATCTAGTGGGGGCACGCCCTATGGCGGCACGAGGCTGCCACTCGAGAACCTCTGTTCTCCATCGGTTGTCGGTTCTTCGAGATATATGGCCGGCCCATTGCCACTTCAGCTTACTAATCCGTTGGGCTATGTCGGTCACTCTGGTTCTACTGCGGATATCCTTATTTCTAAGTTTATCACGCAGAGAAACTCCGAGCATTGCCCTCTCCATAGCTCGCTGAGCGACCATGAGCTTTTTCATCCGGCCAGTAGTGAAGGACCACGTCTCAGTTCCATAGGTCATCACTGGCAATATGCACTGGTTGTACAATCTCGTTTTCAAGTTTTGAGGTATACCTGACGAGAATATGTGCCCTAATTTCCCGAACCGAGTTGAATCCACCGTTTGACCTCTCGGTCGAAGTTGGACTTACCTAGTCGGACTATTTGTCACAGGCAAACATACTCGTCAACAACTTCGAGCTTAATGCTCCCAACAACTACCGGCATAGGTGTGACATGGACATTAAATATGATCTTTGTTTTGTCCATGTTCATCTTAAGACCTATCCGTTGGGAGACACTATTGAGGTCATTAAGCATATTGCTTAGGTCCTCCAGCGATTCTGCCATAAGGACTATATAGTCGGTAAACCTAAGAGGAGTAATATACTCGTCATTGATGTTAACCCTTTCCAGTCCAGTAGCTTGAAAACGGCTTCCAATGCAGCGGTGAAGAGCTTCAGGGATAAAACATCACCTTGTCTTACAACTCTCTGCACTTGGATAGGTTTTGTACTCTGATTTTGTACTCGGATAGCCATCTTAGCCCTACTGGACAAACAGTTCAGCATTTCGATATAACGACAGTCAACTTGGCACCGCTGAAGAAACTGTAGCATCGCCAAAATTTCAACCGAAGGCCGATCAAAGGCTTTCTCATAGTCCACATACGCAAGGAAAAGTGGCAGATTGTACTCTTCTGTCTTATGTACAATTTACCGATAGGTGTTTATGTGGTCTATGGTACTAAAACCTTTTCGGAAACCGGCTTGTTCGGGAGGCTGGAAGTCGTCGAGTCTGCATGCGAGACGATTCGTAATAACTCCCGAAAACAGCATGTAGACACGGCTCAGAACGGAAATCGATCTGTAGCTCTTCAAGAGAGCTTTGTCGCCTTTCTTGAAGAACAAATCCACCGCAATTTTGCTCCACGCCTCCGGAGTAGTGCCACCATGGAGGACGGAATTGAAGAGCTTCTGAAGGACTACAAGTACCAGTCTTCCACCTGCTTTTTGAAGCTCCGCTAAAATTCAATCGTCACCTGGGCCTTTGCCTTGCTTTTTAAGGTGCTGACGTCCAGGATATCTTCGGAATAGTGTCGGATAAGACTCGCTCTTGGATCGTTACTCACACTAGCTTGTGGCTCCAACAATGACGTGTACAGCTGCTCATCGAACCTCTCAATCTAACTCAAAATCTGAGGTGTCCCGAAAGCGATGCTGCCACACTCGGTCTTTAGCTTTGACGGTTGGCTTTTTCTGGCAGACAGATCTCTGGCAAAGACTTTAGAGCCTTGGCTCCGCTCGATCGTTTCTTCAATACAAGGTATATTGAAGTTGCGTAAGTCCGGCCACATGTATTTGAAGATCTGTCTGTTCAGTTGCCTGTATGCTGTCAAATCTCTTGGAGACTGCAGATTCATTTAACGTCTAACAGCCCCATGACATAAATAGTGTCATCGGAGAGTTTTTGTGTTCTGCTGCTGTGGGTCTTGCAGAACTTAGCTCCGAACGCATGGACAGTTTCCACGAGCTTATCATTCATTAAGTCCACTTCATTGCAATCTTCTAGGCACTGTAACTCGAGCTGAAAGGTTTCGGGACTTTGGAACAGAGAACGAGGGGGACGGAGCGTTGACTTCATTAGACGAGACCTCTCCAACTTAACGTTTAGGTTCAGTGTGCCTCTAACCATTCGGTGATCGCTACCAGTTTTCACCCTCGCGATCACTGAGACATCACTGAACAGTTGTCGTCTGGTACTCATAATGAAGTCAATCTCATTTTTTGTTGAACCGTCGTGGTTCGACCAGGTCCACTTCCTGTGGGACCGCTTCTGGAAGAAAAAGTTCATCATAAAGAGTCCCTCTTTCTCCATGAAGTCGGCCAGCTGCTAGCCCCTTGGGTTCCGTTGCCCTATTCCAAATTTCCCTACTTTCAGCTCACCGTTCTCTCTTGTGCCTAGTTTTGCATTGAAGTCTCCCATTAACACCGTATATTGGGTTTTGGAGGAATGCATGACTCTAGAGATATCCTCATACATTTCCTCCACCTCCTCATCGGTATGTGCCGAGGTTGGTGCGTAAACATGTATGACCTTCAGCGAATACCGTTTAGTGATTCTGAGTATAAGGTACGCAACCCTCGTCGACACAATCTCAATCTTTTCAACGTTGTTAACGAGAGACTTGTGGACGATAAATCCGACACCTACTTGGGACAGATGTTCGCCCTCCCGGTGATAGAACAAGTTGCCGGATTAGAGAATTACCGTGTCCTCCCCCTCTTTTCCTATAATCCTTTAATATTCCAGTGAAGCTTGCCTATCTCTTCTTCCAGCTTCAGGATCTTCTTGTCAGTCCTCAGGGTGCGTGCGTCATAAGTTGCCAGGTGGAGTCATTTTAGATGGCAACCGAACCTCCACCGGAGATTCTTAGCACCCCCTGCCCCGCCATTACCATGTTGACCACCGTAGCCAGGAATAGCGGGGCCGCCAGGGACTGGGGGCCGTCTCTTCGTAACTTTTCTCATTGGGGGGTACATTGCCATAATTGCCGCGCTTGGCGAACGGGTTGGCAACCTCAGTTTTTTATTGTGATATTGCTGTTATCAAGAAGAAGCTGCTGCCCATCTCTTGCCTGTTTCCCATTGTCACCTCTTACGTCACGCACGGGAAGACATAGGGTTGTGGCGATTCTTAACCGCCACCACTCGGCAAAGGACAGATTTACAACTTGCTAAATGAAGAACCAAAACATCATGAGCTACCATGGCTTCAATAAAATTACAAAATATTATTAACACGTTTTTGAAATAATGCTTCATTTCACACGGTTAATTAAAATACCATTCTGTTTTAACCTTAAAAAATAAATGTTTTTCTACATCTCACGTTGAATGTTCGTACTTCGAACCTAAGCCTGTGTAAAATGTAAAAGTATTGTATCTACAGTAATTTTAATTATGTATTGTTATGCTTAAACAATGCCTTGAAGATATCGTATTAATCGATTAAGTTCCAAGTAAACTGATTGTTAATACTACAGGTGGGCGAACTTCTAATAAAAGGACCAAATGTAATGAAAGGTTATAAAGAAAATCCAGAAGCCAATAAACAAGTATTTGTAGACGATGTCTGGCTAAAGACTGGCGACTTAGCAGAGATCGATGAATTCGGCGCCGTTACTATTGCAGACCGACTTAAAGAATTAATAAAGGTAATGTTTTAATATGATGTTATTGTTTGGAGTTTGTCAAATTATGAAATGGAGATATGTTTAAGAAATCCGGACTGAATTTAATAACAACTGAGTTAAATCACATAAGAGGCAATTTTCTTATTTTCTCCATTAGTAAGTAGTTTACCACACATAAAATATACCAGCTTCTTTTTGTTTACTCTGCTTTCTACACTTATTTTAACAAGTAATCGCTTAAATCACTTAAACAAGTAAAGGTTAGGAGAGATATTTCTGTAGTTTTTCTGCCGACTTCCAAAAAGGAGACGGTACTCAATTTGACTGTATGTTTTTTTATGTGTGTTTCATCATAACTTTTTACTGGGTGAACCGATTTCGATGATACTTTTTTTATTTGAAAGCTGATACTTCTCGTGTGGTTCCATATGAATTTTTCATTGATCAAGGTCAGACCAATAGTTATTGAGTTATTCTTAATAACTTATATTGAAGTCGGCTGTATAACATTTTTAATTTTAAATTATTTAATTCGAAATTGACAACACCCCAGAATGAGATGGGGTCTTTTTATGTTCTCATCAAATGACTACTTTTGTTCATGATGTAAATTAAAGGAAAATTCTTAAAATTATCAAGTTCAATACATAAAAATGAAATAGGAATTTTAAAAAAATTTAAAATATGTAAATATACAATAGGTAACATATATAGTGTCGTGTAGTGGCGGTCAAGAATATCCACTACCCCATATCCTCCCGTGGGTGTCGTAAAAGGCGACAAAGGGAAACAGGCAGGAGATGGGCAGCAGCATCTTCCTGATAATAGCCAAATTACAATAAAAAAACTGCGGTTGCCAACCCGCTCGCCAAGCGTGGCAACTATGGCAAATACCCCCCTATGAATGACAGTAACAAAGAAACGGCCCCCAGTCCCCGGCGGCCCCGCTATTCCTGGCTACGGTGGCGACCATGGTAACGGCGGGGCAGGGGGTGCTAAGAATCTCCGGTGGAGGTTCGGTTGCCACCTTAGACGACTCGACCTGGCAACGTACAACGCACGCACCCTGAGGACTGACGAGAAGATCGTGGAGCTGGAAGAAGAGATAGACAAGTTGCGCTGGCATATTATAGGATTATCCGAAGTCCGAAGAGAGGGGGAGGACACGGTAATCCTCGAATCCGGCAACTTGCTCTGTCACTGGGAGGGCGACCATCTGTCCCAAGGAGGTGTCGGATTTATCGTCCACAAGTCTCTCGTTAACAACGTTGTAAAGATCGGGAGTGTGTCGACGAGGGTTGCGTACCTTATACTCAGAATCACCAAACGGTATTCGCTGAAGGTCATACAGGTTTACGCACCAACCTCGGCACACCCCGATGAGGAGGTGTAGGAAATGTATGAGGATATCTCTAGAGCCATGCATTCCTCCAAAACCCAATATACGGTGTTAATGGGAGACTTCAATGCAAAATTAGGCACAAGAGAGAACGGTGAGCTGAAAGTAGGGAAATTTGGAATAGGGCAACGGAACCCAAGGGGCCAGCAGCTGGCCGATTTCATGGAGAAAGAGGGACTCTTTATGATGAACTCTTTCTTCCAGAAGCGGCCTCACAGGAAGTGGACCTGGTCGAGCCCCGACGGTTCCACAAAAAATGAGATTGACTTCATTATGACGACCAGACGACAACTGTTCAGTGATGTCTCCGTGATCGCGAGGGTGAAAACTGGTAGCGATCACCGAATGGTTAGAGGCACACTGAACCTAAACGTTAAGTTGGAGAGGTCTCGTCTAATGAAGTCAACGCTCCGTCCCCCTCGTGCTCTGTTCCAAAGTCCCGAAACCTTTCAGCTCGAGTTACAAAACCGTTTTCAGTGCCTGGAAGACTGCAATGAAGTGGACGATATGAATGACAAGCTCGTGGAAACTGTCCATGCGGTCGGAGCTAAGTTCTGCAAGACCCGCCGCGGAAGAACACAAAAACTCTCCGATCACACTCTTAATCTCATGGCTGTTAGACGGGAGATGAAGCTACATTCTTCAACAGACTGGACAGCATACAGGCATCTGAACAGACAGATCTCCAAATGCATGCGGCGGGACTTACGCAACTTCAATACAGCTCGTATTGAAGAAGCGATCGAGCGGAACCAAGGCTCCAAAGTCTTTGCCAGAGATCTGTCTGCCAGAAAGAGCCAACTGTCAAAGCTGAAGACAGAATGTGGCAGCATCGTTTCCGGGACACCTGAGATTTTGAGTGAGATTGAGAGGTTCTATGGGCAGCTGTACACATCATCGTTGGAGCCACACGCAAGTGTGAGTAACGATCCAAGAGCGAGTCTCATCCGACACTATTCCGAAGATATCCCGGATGTCAGTCTGAGCGAGATTAGGATGACTCTTCAGCAACTTAAAAACGGTAAGGCCCCAGGCGAGGATGGAATTACAGCGGAGCTTCTGAAAGCGGGTGGAAGACCGGTACTTGAAGTCCTTCAGAAGCTCTTTAATTCCATCCTCCATGGTGGCATTACACCGGAGGCGTGGAGCAGAAGTGCGGTGGTCTTGTTCTTCAAGAAAGGTGACAACGCTCTCTTGAAGAACTACAGACCGATTTCCCTTCTAAGCCGCGTCTACGTGCTGTTTTCGAGAGTCATTACGAATCGTCTTGCGCGCAGACTTGACGACTTCCAGCCTCCCGAACAAGCCGGTTTCCGAAAGGGCTTTAGCACCATAGACCACAAACATACCCTTCGGCAAGTTGTACAGAAGTCCGAAGAGTACAATTTGCCACTATGTCTGGCGTATGTGGACTATGAGAAAGCCTTTGATTCCGTCGAAATTTGGGCGGTGCTGCAGTCCCTTCAGCGGTGCCAAGTTGACTGTCGGTATATCGAAGTGTTGAAGTGCTTGTACAGTAGGGCTACGATGGCTATCCGAGTACAGAACCAGAGTACGAAACCTATCCAATTGCAGAGAGGTGTAAGACAGGGTGACGTCATATCCCCGAAACTCTTCACCGCTGCATTGGAAGACGTTTTCAAGCTTCTGGACTGGAAAGGATACGGTATCAACATCAATGGCGAGTACATCACTCACCTTCGATTTGCCGACGATATAGTCCTTATGGCAGAATCGCTGGAGGACCTAAGTACTATGCTCAATGACCTCAATAGTGTTTCCCAACGGATAGGTCTTAAGATGAACATGCACAAAACAAAGATCATGTTTAATGTCCATGTCACACCTATGCCGGTAGTTGTTGGGAGCACTAAGCTCGAAGTTGTTGACGAGTATGTTTACCTGGGACAAATAGTCCGACTAGGTAAGTCCAACTTCGACCGAGAGGTCAATCGACGGATTCAACTCGGCTGGGCAGCGTTCGGGAAGCTACGACACATCTTCTCGTCAAACATACCTCAAAACCTTAAAACGAAATTGTACAACCAGTGCGTGTTGCCAGTGATGACTTACGGAACTGAGACGTGGTCCTTCACTGCTGGCCGTATGAGGAAGCTCAAGGTCGCTCAGCGAGCTATGGAGAGGGCTATGCTCGGAGTTTCTCTGCGTGATAAGCTTAGGAATGAGGATATCCGCAGTAGAACCAGAGTGACCGACATAGCCCAACGGATTAGTAAGCTGAAGTGGCAGTGGGCCGGCCATATAGCTCGAAGAACCGACAACCGATGGGGAAGAAAGGTTCTCGAGTGACAGCCTCGTACCGGTAGGCGAAGTGTAGGGCGTCCCCCCACGAGATGGAGTGACGACCTGATAAGACATGCAGGAAGTCGATGGATGCAGGTGGCTCAGGTCCGTGCTTTGTGGCATTCTTTGGGGGAGGCCTATGTTCAGCAGTGGACTTGTGAAGGGCTGTAATGATGATGAACATATATATATATAAGTTATAACTGGGATTAACTTTTTAAAATTAATGAGATAACTGCAATACTTGTATTTAATTTAATTTATTTGAATTTAATGTTTGATATTTACTTACTACATGTTCGTACATACTTTTTAAATTGGTAATTTCTAAAATTGACACGCTACTTTCAAATAAGCACCTCGAAAGATAATATGTATTTTGAGATAATAGATATAAACGACATAGGTTTGGCAGGATCGTATCAATAGAATGTCCATAGTCTCTTGACGTGAGTCGTGAGAGTTTCTGTATGTATTAAATTTTTGTACTAAGCTCTTTAACAATCTCTCTTTTATATTTCCGGTTATAGTGTCAATATAATTAGACAGAAAAATAAGGATTGGCTTTTCACACATTTGAGGAAAATAAGTAACATGGGGTAAAATTTATTAACCAATTAGTTATATAACCTTCAGTGTGAAAATAACGTAAGGCAATGGGTATATTTCACACATCATTATTACAAAATTATATTCTAAATTCAGACGGTCTTAAGAGTTAGTCAAGAAAAAGGCTAATGAAAAACTGGTCAAGTACGTGTCGGGCCACGGACAAAGTAGAGATAGGGTTCCGTAGTTGCTTGTCACAATACGTGGGCTTTCTTGATAATGAGCATAATAAGTGAGTTCGACTTTATTCGACGGAATAGACGTGTAAAAAAAAATCATCTGCCATTTACATTTATTTTTTTTAGTGGAGGTAACCAAAATAAAACTGTTTTTAAAGATTTTATATCACAGTATATGTAGGCGTGATTTATACATTAATCTATAAGTATGCCAAATTACAGATTTGTAGCACTTAGGGTCTGAGTAAAACCGCGGACGGACGGATGGACGGACGGTCCCTACAAACTTTGACATGAAACAAAGTAGCACGTTAAATAATCTGTAGTAAAATAAACAAGTAGATACGGAACTTTCACATGTTCAAAACTTAATAATAATGTTTCTTAAATCTTTCAGGTAAACGCTTTCCAAGTACCTCCAGCAGAATTAGAATGTGTCTGTAAAGAACATCCTGCAGTGTACGATGTTGCTGTTGTGGGTATACCTGATGCCAAATCTGGTCAAAGACCTAAAGCATTTATAGTGTTAAAAGAAAACATTAAAGTTAGTGATATTGAAATCCTCGAGTTCGTGGCTGAAAGAGTGGCTCCTTATAAAAGAATAAAAGAAATATCCTTCATAGAGGCTATACCAAAGAATCCGTCTGGCAAGATTTTGAGAAGAGTATTACTTGAAAAATATTGTTAAAATTAATAATAAGATGACAAAAATATTACCAAAGCTTATTTAATTGACACCTACATTTTATAGAATAAGGATGACAAAAGGGCACACAGTCCATCTGATGGTAAGTGACAGCTGCTCATGACATCTAATCATTTGGCCTTGAATCAAAATGTAGATGCGTTGTTATCCTTGACGACTAAGATGAAATGCCTCATTTCTATTAAAAGGGTCTTTGGTTCTCTACACTCCCGTTCCTTGTCGAGCCGACCCATTCGTGCTACAACATACATATATAAAATATAGTATATTGAGATGCACTATATATTGACGTGGATGATTTTTTCACGGTAACATTGTTATAGTTCAATGGGCAAAATAATGGAAATTAAGGATAACATTAGTAACATTGCAACAAAAAAAAACTAGGGTGCCAACCCATCTGCCAAGCGTGGCAACTATAGCAAATACTATTTATAAGGCAAACTATGGAGGAGGCCCTATGTTTATTAATAGAATTTGGTAGGCCGTAATGATGATACCCATATAAAACTTTTTTCGTAAAATCATATCTAACAACAAAAGCAAGATCTGTTCATTATGGTACTGTAAAAATAACATTTATTGTTAAAGCAGTGTTAATATATAATACACAAAGGCAAACGTAAAAGCTATTGCTTCATATAATATTTTTACTGAACCCCAATTTGGTTTTCCAATCTTCTATTGAGACTGTTGACAGTCTTTGTTCACATAGAACGTCTGTGGAAAAGTAGGTCTTTGTAAATCACAAAATATTTGTAACACAAAAATACATATTTACTCATAACAAAATTTATAATAATAATAAGTGTTTATTTCAGACGTAAGGAACATCAATAGATTGTTAGTATGTTAGTAACAATTTTATAAGAATTATGAATCTATTTGATCGTTATATTGAAGTATACGGAGAAGGCTATGCTCAGAGTTTTGTTTTTAACTTAGCATGAGAATATCTGCAATAAAAGTAGAGTAACCGACATAGCTTAATAGATCAGTAATATGAAGATGCAATGGGGCATCCATATAGCTCGAAAAGAACCGATCACCAAATTATAAGAAAGGTTCCCGAGGAGGCCCATCCTGATGGAATATAAGAAGTCAATGGATGCAGTTGGCTCAAAACCGTGTTTAATGACATTACTTGGAAAAGGTCTATGTGCAACAGTAGACTTGTTATGGACTGTAACGATGATGATTATGTTTATACTCGTATGATAATGATTGAATGCATTAGGAAGCCAGGGTAATAATCGACCAAAAATTCCACCAGTGTATTCACTTATGCTGTGGTCTGTAGACGCCTATAAATGTACATACATCTTCGATTAATAATCTAAATATGTGTGTGTTGTCCTCTATCTTGCGGGAAGGAATGTCTTAGTTATTGATAGCGGACTTAGAATACGAAAGCACAGTGGATTAGTGTGGTATTTGAAAGCGTTGTTTTTCCTTGATCGAGCTGACGCAATTGTATTACAGCCATAAGGTAGTGACAACATGGCTCTACCATGTAAATAGGTAAAGTAAAATAGTATAAGGCGAACAATTTTGTTTATTGATAACAACATTTTTTTATTGATAACAAATTACTGGAGCGTTATGATAACGATGATAGCGGTACAGTTCAGAAATGTATGTACCGTTTATAATCTGTAGTAAAAAAATACTGAGACTAACCAATCTATCAATATTCTAATGTTGAAAATAGTCCTATTATTTTTTTAATATAAGAGGAAGCCAACGAGCATGCGCCTCACCTGATGGTAGGTGACTACTGTCGACCGAACAACTGCAACACCTGAGAAATTACATTTGAATTGCAACTGCTGATATTTGCTATAGTTGCTACACTTGGCAGGCGGGTTGGCAACCGCAGTATCTTTTACCGACTTCAAAAAGGAGGTGGTACTCAATTCGACTGTATGTTCTATGTGTTTATGTGTTGTTACCTCATAATTTTTTTTGGTGAACCGTTTTCAATGATTCTTTTTTTATTTGAAAGCGGGTACTTCTCATGTAGTCCCAAATAAATTTGATCAAGTTTTTGAGTTATAACTAATAACTTATATTGAAATCGGTTGTACAACATTTTTAATTTTAAATTATACTGTATTGAATAGTTATCAGGAAGATGCTACTGCCCACTTCCTGTTCATTTTCCTCTATCACTTCTTACGACACACACAAGATGATACGGAGTAGTGGAACCTCTCACGCCGCCTCTACGATGGCAATTTAAAATATTATAGTGTTCATGTTGTAATGTATACTTATTAAAGTATTAATGCACACTTATGTAAGGTGTTTTGATATTTTTAACCAAGTTCCAAAAACGGTGAGGTTGTGTCATATTGAATGCGTGTATTTTATGTAATCAACCTATTTTTAGGAAATGGCTGAACCAAATGTAATGATTATTCCTTTATTGAATAGTTTATACTTTAGGGGCGGTTTCAAATAAATTTTAAGAAAAAATCACCCCTACGGATGAAAAACAAGAGGATGAAGTTTTTAATATAACCATTTAGAGGATATTCCTGATTTTACCTTGAGCTTTCGATAATTAATTAAGTTAATTTGTACAGCCAGCAGCACTTTGACTATGTTCTTGAGTTTAGTATTGCGTTACGTATTCTGACCAAAGGAAATTATAATTTAGTATTAAAACAATCCGATAGTATCAAAATTAGAGACATCCTTACTGGATAATGGAGTGTTCCGTTTTTTTAATAGTGCGGTAAATTGAAAAAATTATATTAATATTAAAATCTTTGGATAATTATAATAGTAACTTTGCTAAATATTACCACGTAATTGGCAGTACCTGCTCGTAGTATATTGATATTAATGTAAAGTTCATTTGATATGTTATGGAAAGCGTAGTAGCATATAAATAAATATTTCTATGATACAATTTTCATAAATATTGAATACGATAATTGTGGTATATGGAGAACTAGCTTTGCGCCTCATAATGTTACCCGCGTCCAAGTTGTACTCGTAATGTCCAGACAGTCATGACCCACGCTTAATATCAGACCACATAATTCAATCACATTGGTACTTTCTCATATTTTGGAATGGTTAGTGATCGCAAATTTAGGATTGATTTTAGACTACGGCCTTTTGAATAGTGAAAACATCTCTAACAATCTTACTCTTCGTACTCCATTACATTCAACATCCTTCTTCAATAAATAATTTTCTGTTACAGCTTGAAAGTATGCCATGTTTTAATTATATTTCTGATAATACTACAATAAGCTTTCGATTAGAAACTAAGTAATTCGTGTTTAAGAATTTATAGATACTCCACCCTTAAGAGGGAAAATAGCGTATAATAGCTTTTACAAAATTGTTAACTATTTTGATGCGGTTTTCAATCAATCAATCAACCAATATATTATTTATTGAAGTACTACAATACACATTGAAACAAAAATAAAATGAAATAAATAAAGAAGGTACAATAGGTGGTCTTATCGTTCAGGAGGCAATTTCTTCCAGACAAGTTTATTACGCAAAGAATTGCTCACAACGAATAATAAGGAGGATGGTGTACATAAATAAATATAAAATAAAGTTAAAAAATAAACAAATATATAAACACAAGTTAATGACAGTTGAGGAAAATAGGATAGATGCAAGAAAGACGGGAAGTATGATGGAAAATATTAGAATAGTTCCAAGTTAAAAGCTTGGAATAGATTTTTAAAAGAAAAAGATACTGAGCTCGGCGTATGTGTAGAGGCAAGGAGTCCCATGACCGTACAGCTGTAACAAATATTGATTTATTGATCAAGGAGGATGAATGTATTGGAGAACGAAGTATGATAGTTAGAGTAGTTTTCACTATTCTAAAGGCCTTTCTCTGACTTAAAATCTGCGATCATTATCATTCCCAAATATGATACTTTAACGTGGTAGAGCCATATTGCAGCTACCTTGTGGTTGTAGCACGAATGGGTCGGCTCTACCGGGGAAGGAATATGCTCTCACAGAATACCAGCGCGAAATGGCAGCTCAATGTCACCAACATTGAGCTGTTTCGTATTGTAAGTGTAGAGAACCAGACATCCTTTTTGCTGGATACGAGGCATTCCATTTTAGTCCTTGGGTTTCAACGCATCTGCATTTTGATTCTTAATCAATAGATGTGGATGTCTATGGGCCACAGCATCTACTTACTTAGCCTAATTCTATTAAAATGCAAGTTATAATTTATGTTATAAACTATTTTACGTGGTAGAGCCATGCTGCAGCTATGTTAATAGTATAGTTGCAGCACGAAAGGGTCGTCTCGACCAGGGAAGGACCACGCTCTCACAGTATACCAGCGTAAATAGCAGCATAATGCTGCTGTGTTTCGTATGGTGAGTGTAGAGAACTGGGGACCTATTTTACTGGAAAAGAGGCATTCTTTCTTAGTCCTCACGACTTACAACGCATTTGCATTTTAATAGGCAAACAATAATAGATGTAGATGTCTATGGGCCACAGCAACCACTTACCATCAGGTGCACTGTGTGCCCGTTTGTCACTCTAATTATATAAAAAAAAAACTATCTTGAAAAATCAGCTCTTAATATTACACTAAGTGACTAATATTAATGATAACATGTAGATAACATAATATATTATATATATAATAATTTACATAATATATATAAAAGTGTGGCGGCGCTGTCGTCGCGCCACAAGCGAAACACATCGAAGCCTAAATCGCGCTATCAAAGTTCCGAAATTAAAGCAGCATATATAGAATAGCTCCGAACTACCAATTGGAGCGCTGGCCGCTCCCCGGGCAGAATACCTTGCCCGGCGGGAGATCTCCCCTTTTCCTTCCACCCGCCACAGTGGTGACCACCTGACGTGATATGAACACGCAACCAACAACCTTCGGAAACTACAACTTCAAATCTTCGTCATCATCCTCAAGTACCCCATTCATTCGCTCCCGAGCAGATATTGTCTGCAGT